AGGGCGCCTGGGTGGCTCAGTTGGTTAAGCGACTGCCTTCGGCTCAGGTCATGATCCTGGAGTCCTGGGATCGAGTCCCACATCGGGCTCTCTGCTCAGCAGGGAGTCTGCTTCTCCCCCTGACCCTCCCCACTCTCATGCTCCCTCTATCTCATTCTCTCTCTCAAATAAATAAATAAAATCTTTAAAAAATTAAAAAAAAAAAAAGATGGGGCTGGAGGGCAAAATGACCCTCATGTAACTGATAAGCATTTACTGAGCACCTACTGAACACTAGGAGGTGTGGAGGGCCAAGGATATGCAAATCCAGACACAGTTGCTGCCCTCTGGAAGCTTGGTTTGATAAGAAAATAGATGCAAAACAGTAAAAGAATTGCTTTCATGGCATGTATGAAAATTCAATGGTACCATACCATAGAAGAGAAGTTCTGATGGTCTTTGGAAGTTACCTACACAAGGACGCAAATATCGATTTCTATCTAAGGTGGGCAACTCATGGTCCTCGAAGCAATTAAACATGAATTAGGTGGAAACCAAGAATTCCAATTCACGGTTGATTATAACTTACATTCATACCATCTTCATATGATTTTGAGCTTCAAAATTGTCTATATCTCCAAGAGACAAAGGCATTGATCATCCCATTTATAACCCAGAACTTGTAAGTTCAGAAAATGTAGCACTCTTGACCAAAATCATATTTTTGATGTCCTAGAGTGGGGACTGGAAACTGAGCCTCCATGTTACTTGTCATTGCACCGAGCCAAGCTGCAGAAACCAGCACAATAATCTAAGGAATCCCGTTTAATTTAAAAGGAGAGAAGAAGAAGACTTTCATATTAAAACCTAGATAATGTGATGGTTTTAAATCATGTCTCCCTTGCCTGGTAGATGCCTGGTAATTTTAACTATTGTTAAACATCAGTCGGAACTTTTCTAACTCCAGATACTGCTGTCTGGGGGATCCAGGGGAGAGGGTGCTTTGTTTAAGATCATGTAAAACAGCAAACACATTTTCTTTCCCCAGCTTATTCAAAAATTGACGGATGTTGCTGAAGAATGTCAGAACAATCAGCTGAAGAAGCTCAAAGAAATCTGTGAGAAGTAAGCCTGCATTCTCTTTACAATGGGTTTGTGTCTATAAACGTGTTGCACACAAACTGCCGTTTCATTTATCTTTTTTTTCCCCTTTTTCTTACATTTTGACTTCAGAGAGAAGAAGGAATTAAAGAAGAAAATGGACAAAAAAAGGCAGGAGAAGATAACAGAAGCTAAATCCAAAGACAAAAGTCAAATGGAAGAGTAAGGAGAAAGAACCCCTTCTCTCCCACCTGTCACCTGGGGATTATTTTATTCTGTTCAGGATAACAGCTTCTTAACCACCTAAAGACACATCTGTGAAATTTCTCCTCTAATTAACCTTTCAAAAGATCCCTTTAGTAAAGGTTTTAACATGGAAGTCAAAGGGCAGTTCAATAAATGACTAAGGCACACCCAGGGATCTTTCAGATAAAGATGGAGTAACGAGTTGCCCTTAGGAAAAAACCCAGTCCTCAGTTCCCATACTGTCGGGCAACCTTCCCAGCATTTAGCTTGCTTGCCCTTGGGCAGACTGTACCTTTCTTGAAGCAGCAATGAGATTGTGGAAAGTTGTGTGAACTTTCACCTGAAAGTCTGAGATCCACCTAGGATGATTTCATATAATAATCTAGTTGCCATTTGCTCTTAGGGAAAAGACAGAGATGATCCGGTCATACATCCAAGAGGTGGTGCAGTACATCAAGAGGGTACGTCCGTTAATCTCTCTCTGTTTTGCAAACCATGTATGAATGTTTGGCAGGCACAGTGTGAGCCTCTGAAGGGAAATGCCGTGCCTGTATCCATTTATCACCAGCACCCAGAAGAGCTGCTTTAGTTCTGTAATCAATGTTTCTGGAAGTTTAATTGCAAACCTATATATAAAAAGGCTCATCTAGGGGCGCCTGGGTGGCTCAGTTGGTTAAGCGACTGCCTTCGGCTCAGGTCATGATCCTGGAGTCCCGGGATCGAGTCCCGCATCGGGCTCCCTGC